TTTATGGCCGCCGTGTACCCGCTCGGCGGGGCCCCTCCTTTGGAGAACCCAAAGCGGGCAAATATTGACAATTCTCACCGTATCGGTCCTGCAACGCGCGCGAGCCTCTCTCGGCGTTGCCGAAGGCCCCGGCTGCGGGGTGCAGGGGAGTTTTCGGTGGACTGGGATGAGTGGGGCAGACTGGTGTTGAGCGCGTGCATGGCACTGGGTATCTCAGCATCCCGATGCCTCCCTGAACAAAAGGGAGAACAGGCTCCTGGGTGACTATTAGTTTTTTTGAGGTCCCAGCTAGAAAACGCCATTCGATACCTTACTGTTTCCATCACGACTTACCCAGGCAGGGAGAAAACACAGCCCCTGCGAAGCATCCTCCGCTTCTGACTTACCAAAGCGGGTGACATGCAGCACCGTGAGCCGAGGAAGGTCCTTCAGAACAGGCTACGGCTGCAGGTAGGACCGAGCAAAGGTCCCGTAGGCTGGTTTTCGCGTTAGCAGGAGCTCGTCAGCTTGTGCGTGGGGACGCTCCATCGCTTTCCTCACGTGCACGGGGTCTTGCTCTCAAAACAGAGCTGGCAACGCTCATGGGCTGTTGCACGAGGTGTCTGGTTTGCCTTTGTGTAAAAGCAAAATCAGGCAAGCAGCAGGGTAAGGAAAAAAAAAAGCAAGTGGTGTATAATGGAAGGGTCAAAAAAGAGGATGGTTATGTCGTGCTTGGTGAGAATCCCTCATTAAATAGGTGATGCCGAACAATCATTTTAGCAGTTTTCTTCTGGCGGAGATTGCGGGTGCGTAGCGCTCTGCGGGGAACCCCGGCACGGGCAGGCAGCGAGCCAGGGGGAGGAAATCCCCCCCATCGCTGATAGGGAAACTGAGGCAGGGAACGAGGATGTCGCTTGCGCGGAAAAGGGAGAGATGGTGAGAAAAGGGAACTCGCGTCAGGGCCTCGGCGAAACCTCTTCCCAGCTCTGGCACACGCCGTTTGCCTCGTCTGCTCTCCGGGCCGATTTAAGGAGACCCGTGGGACGGCAGCGAGTTAATTAGCCAAACCGGGGCTAATTCAAGACTTTCTGGGTCCGCAGCCAGCCTTTATCGCTGGGGACTAAGGTATATTCCTGTGCATCAAACCGGCTGAGCTTCCAGGTGAAAGACTCCCCGCCCCAGCTCCTCTACCCGCGGCAGGTTTGCCGTGTGCTTCCCCAGATGTGAAATAACCCCCTCCCCAGGGCAGGACGTGGATTTGGTTTCTTTTTCGTGGTATGCAAAACACAACTTTTACAGCCCGGTTTATTGCAATGTAGCGAGAGGGTGCAGTATCCCAGCCAACACACCAGCGCTTGGAGCTCTGTATGAATGGATTCATACAGCCAGGTGTCCGAGCAGAAAAATACATAGATAGTTAAAATTCACCTAGAATTTAAACAGGGACTGTCTTTCGGCTCATCCTGCCCACAGTCTGTCTGCGTGATCGCCCCTATCCCATCTCGGCAAGGATTTGAGCCTTGGTTTATGCCTTGCAAGCAGCTGTTGGGCGAAGGGCTGCCTGCTCCTTCCTCGTCTCCCCCAGGATTAAAGGCTGCTGGACGAGGAGGATGGTTGAGCTTGATGCCTGGGTTACACCCAGAGGGAAGCGTTTCTGATTTAAGAGATATTTCCTGGTGCCGTTGACTTTGGGGCAAGCCGGGGTGGGAATTACAGCTGCCGATTCTCAGGGCATCAGTCTCTGAGGAAATAGTGTTTCGGTGCTGTGGCTGTGTTCCATCGCCGCGCCCCACGGAGGTTTGCCGTGCTGAGACCTCCCAGGGGGTCAACCCCGCTGAATGGCTCCGCCGGGCAGAAAATCTGCGCCGTGGGGATGCTTGGAGGTCGGGGCGGGAGGGAAGCAGCCACAGCCTGAACTGCTTTTTCCTAGGGGATGTGGTCAGGGTTGTTGCAGAATTGGGCCAAAACATTCTTTTCTGGTGAGAAATCTGTTTTGCTCTGTGCTGGGCGTGAGGCAAGAGCGAGCTCCTGGCCACCCTGTCGCAGCAAAGGTTGCCAGCGCCCGGCCCTGCCGCAGCGTCGCGCCTGCCCGCAGCCCTTTGCACCAGCTTTGATTTCTCTATCTCGGCGGCAATTGCAAATTTTCGGAGCCTGAGGGCTCGGGGCTAAGCAGGGAGGGGGAGTTCACGGGCGCAGACGCATCGCTTCTCGGGTGGCACAGACTGACTTCTCCCTCTCCTGCAAAAAGGGGATGATACTGGTGGGCAACGCAGGCAGCCGGGGCAGTAGCATTACAAATCGCCTCCCTGACCCACCGCGTGCTCCACGCGCTGGTTATTTGTGCGTTGACCTTTGAGCTTCTGCTGGACTAACCTTAAAAATTTGCACGTGCAAAGCGGCTTTTTTTATCCCGGCGATGTTTATCTCCCCATGCTGTGCCTCAGCTGCCGAAACCAGGCACAAACCAGGCAGAGGCGAGCTCCGAGCTCCTGTGGAAATGTTGCCGCAGGACGCAAAAGGTCCCGATTTTCGGTGCTAACTCACTGGCTTGCAGGTTTTGGCCTGTTCGAAACGGGCTCTCAACTCTGCTGCTCACCTCTGGTTTTTAACTGATGGGGTTTTTTCTGGGTATTTCAACGGGAAGCCGAGCGAAGAGGTCAGCCTCTCCTCGCCAGCTGCCGGGGGTGGCCGCTGGGCTCGGCTGAGTCACATCACACCCAGGACCGATGTTTTGTGCGTTCTGTTTTTATTTTGGAACAACGGAAGAGAATCTGCAGCAAAGCAAAAAGCAGAGGGAGCCGACAGGCTGCACGGGGAGGACGAGCCAAGGGGCAAGGAGTCCCACTGGAGAGGCTCGCGCTGGTCTCCGGCTATCTCGCCCTTTGCAGGGACGAGGCGCAGGTGTCCACCCCTCCCTTGTTTTTCTGTGCTGAACCATTGCATCTGCACGGCTCTCCCTCCTCAGATCCAGTGTATAATGACGCAGCTTCATGAGAGGGCGGTTGTCCTCGCGTCGAAGCCAAAAAGCCCCCAAGAGGAGACCCGCCAGGGCTGGAAAACGCTCCTGTTACCACGCCGTCCCTTTGCTTATCGGCCTGGAGGTGGTTTTGCAAAGAGCCCTTTTGCTTCAACACCGCCCGGCTCGTCCCCGGCACTTGCTGCGACGCCGGAGCAGCGCCCGGCCACGCATCCGGCAGAGCCGAGCTGCCCGCTCGCACCTGCAGGCACCTCTCTGGCACCAGGGCCCGGC